ATAAATAAATAAATAAATAAATAAATAAATAAATAAATAAAAAACAGTTAAGTCATTCAACAAATGGGAAGTAATCTCATTTATTGAATGTAACTGCATTTATGTTAATTACATTTTAATTTGATTGGTTTTTAATCTGGTAGATTTTAAAATAATCTCATTGAAGCTGACAAAATCTTAGTTTTAAGACAAATGATCATCAATAATGGAAACCAGGTTATACTTATTAAAGGCTGCAGCTAAATGAGACAGTTAATTTTCTCAGGTTATTTAAAATCTTGCTGCAATTATGCAAGGTAGCATTATGCAACATGAAATTATTCCTACTAATATATTCTTGAAAATAAGCCCCATTGAAATCAACTGGTTTTAAATGAACGCTAATCCAAGAATAAATTCCGTTAATTAAAAAATAAATACAGGTAGGGCATATTTATTTATTTCACTTGTCTGTGCTTGATCCCAAAGGCTCTAGTGGCCAGTAATCTCATCTATAAAATAAAATGACATCCACAAAGTGAGAAAAGAAGTATATAGTGGTGCTTAAAAGTTTGTGAACCCTTCTGAATTTGCAATATTTCTGCATGAAATGTGATCTATTCTCCACACAAGTCCTAAAACTAGATAAAGAGAACCCAGTTAAGCAAATGAGTCAAAAACGTGATACTTGTTCATTTATCCATTGAGGATAATGATCCAAAGCTACATGTTTGTGTGTGAACCTTTGCTTTCAGTGTCTGGTGTGCCCCCTTTGGGCAGCAATAACTGCAAATAAAAGTTTTTGATAACTGTTGATCAGTCCTGCACATCAGTTTGGAGGAATTTTAGCCCATTCCTCCTTATAAAACAGTTTCAACTTAGGGATGTTGGTGGGCTTCCTTACACGAACTGCCCACATCAGATCCTTCCACATCATTTGCTGCCACTTGTCATGAGGACCCCTGCCCTTCCTGGCTTGTTCAGGAAGTGGGAGGAATGGTGACCACTTGGATTCAGGAACTGTCAGTGCTTCATTATGGGAGGGGGAGTTCCCAGCAGCCTTGAAGAGACTGTGGTCTACCCCCTCCTGAAAAGACCATACTTGGTTCCAGTGATTTGGATAACTATTGGCTGATCTCCAACCTTTCCTTTGTTGGAAGATTGTTGAGCTCGTGGTGGCAGATCAACCTTGCAGCATCCTAGCGGAAGCGAATTATCTGAACCCTTTTCGGTGAGGGTTCAGGCCCAGGTTTGGGATGGAGACAACATTGATCACTCTTAGACCTGTCAAGCCCAGGATGGGGGAGGACACCCCTGAATGGGAGTAGTGCAATCCTTCTGGTGTTATCAGATGTGGTTTTTGATACTATCACCCACTGTATTTTATTGGACTCTCTGCAGAGAGGTTGGGGGTAAGAAGCATTGTTCTGCAATAGTTCCACTTCTTCCTAAGTGGATGGTTCCAATCTGTGATCATGGGGGAGATCAGCTCAATGGCCCCTGATCTGTGGGGTGCCACAGGAGTCGGTCCTCTCCCCCCACTCTTTAATATGTTTATTTCGCTCTTGGAAGAAGTCATCCAATGGTTTGGGATGTGATATCAGTATGCTGAACATACTCAACTATACCCCATACCATGAAGGATGTCCTTGCCTGGTGCATAGAGGCTGTCAGGATCTGGATGGGAAACAACAATCTGAACCCTAGTAAGCCTGAGTTGCTGTGGATACATAGAAGTTCTCTGCCACTATCAGAGTTGTGCCTTGATGGACAAGTACTACTCATCAGGGAGAAGGATCACAACTTGGGGGTTTTCTGGACTCATGGTTCCTGCTGGAACAGCAGGTAAAAGCTAGGGCCAGATGGATCTACATTCAGCTTTGGCTGGAGGACCTAGCTAAAATAACCTTAAAGTAACCTGGCTAGACTACTGTAATGCACTCTGCTTGGAGCTGCCCTTAAAAACTACTTGGAAACTACAATTGGTCCAAAATACAACTGCCCACATATTTGCTGGCTGCCATAGTTGGGAGCATATAACACCAGTCTCATGGAACCTGCTTTGGCTGCAGATTGGTTTCCAGGTACAATTTATGGTTTTGGTTTTCATCTATAAAGCCCTTTATGGCTTGGCACCTGGATATCTGCAGGACTGCCTACTCCAACCAGAACTGGTTGCCCAATTTGATCAGAGATAAACTCCTATGATCCCACATTTTCAGTAGGTCTGAGGGGCTGTAGTGAACAAGCTTTGATTTTCTGTGGCAATGCTGACACAACGGAACAGCCTCTTGGTGAATTCCAATATTACTTAATCTCAGGGTTCTCTCAAACTTTGTGGTGCCATGAACTCCTAAGTTAATAAATGAATACATGTGACCCTCCCTCCCCCAAATAATTTCATTTGTTTTAAGGTTGGGAAAAAATATACCATTTACTTTTAATTAAAATTTGATCCACATATCAAGCATAACAGTAATAAAACCTTACAACATTGTAATATAAAACCTTTTAATTGATAGTAACATGTTCTGTAACAGGGCTGGCTGGGGAATTCTGGAAGTTGAATCCACACAGCTTAAAATCGCTGAGGTTGAGAAATACTGGTCTAATTAATGGTACGCTTGTTTGTACTTTTCAGATTATCAGGGCGCACATTGTTCCAAGGTATCTGATTACTGATATGAAAGCAGGTGGAGGATCAAAACCAAGCCGTCAAGTTTATATGCAACATCACTTCAAATAACACAATGCTTTTCTGTGGAGAAGTCACATGCACAGCAGCTGAAAGCAGATTGGTTGCAATGCTGCAACATTTATTGATGAAAAGAACGCAGTCCTTCTCTATGGGGCAACTTCTTCAATTCAGGCCATGGTTGATTTCTGGAAGTGGCTTGTAGTGCAAGATGACTACCTACAGATTTGGGGATTCTTTTGCCAATACGGGTAGTCCTCATTTAGTGACTGCCTTGTTTAGCAAATGTTCGCAGTAACAACCGTGATGAAAAAGTTACTTTGCAACCAGTCCTTGCATTTACGACCTTCACAGGTCTGTAAAGCAAAGGAAAGCCAAAGTAAGATTGTAAGCACAGTCAGTTTTACTTAGCAACTGCTTCACTTAATGACCAGGCTGTTGGTCCCAATTGTGCTCGCTAAACAAGGACTACCTGTAGTACAAAATGGAAGTAACTCATTTGATGCAGGTGTATCAAGAAATAGGGCAACCAGGCACAAGAGAAGGAATAGTTATACAGAGTGATCTAACTTGAACAAAATGCCTCTGTTATGCTCTTATTTGTTGGGTTACAGAGCTCCTCTCTTCCATATAATAAACCCCATCAATTTAAAGGCACAGAATCTCTGAGCTTTTGCACCCAACCACTCTGGGCCCAAGGAAGTTCATTCAGTACCACCCATGCTACTGAGGGCCACTGTACATTTTAAAACCAAGCTGTTCATGCCACTTGTTATCCTTAACCAGTACTATCTGTAACCGTTGGAGTAAACCACCATTAGCTAAGTTCACATAACATACAAATTCCATTTAGTTTAACGCAATGTGCCAATCTAGCTAGAGAGAACCGGGGATGCAAAGCGTGTTTATACCTTCGTCTGTGCTCTGCGCTTAGAATCTTGGGAGAGCTACTTTTTCTACTCGCCTCATCACTGAACCTTTCTGCAAAATGGGTTTCCAGCTCATTAGAAATCCAGCGGTCCACATATATAGCTTTGCATTTAAGGGCTCAGATCTCTGTCTTTCATTTTAGGCTCTGGCGCGCAGTACTTAACTCGGTCGTAGCCTCCGTCTCCTATTAAACGACAGGCGTTCCAGGATGGGCTTTGTCGCTCGTCGTAGCAGAGACCAGCGCGTAAACACGGCCTGCCCGGCCCCCTCCAGGCTTCTTTGGCCGAGCTCCAGCCACGCTCTCCGGAAGGGCCCGGTAGCTCCGCCCGTCCCAAAGGAGCGGCTCTTAAACCCCACCGCCCCCGCCCGCTGCGGCACAGCTTCTGCTACCGCTGCTCGCGGGGTCGCCGTCGCCATGATCGGCTCCGGGTC